GGCGCGAAGCCCGGATCGCAGCCGGCCTGCCTCCGGACTCATTGAAGGCGAAGGAGGAGGAGTGGGAGGCGACAGAGCAGGACACACGCATGGAGGAGAAGGACACCATAGAGGAGACAGAGGTCGTTGGCGTCGCCATGGAGAATGTTATGGCAGAGTTCGAGGCAACCCAAGCTAGGTGGGCCAAGGCTGTGACCGAACGAGCCACCATTGCCTTCTCCACCTTCTTCTTCGCTTGACACGCCTGCCTTTACGTAGCACTGATCCGACCTTACGGGCGACCTCCTCAAGGTCCGGGTCCTATGGGACGACGAAAATCATCTTTGACTCCTCATGTGGCTTCATTGCGGCGGCGGACCGTAGAAAGGACGGTGGCGATTGGGGCAGAGGGAGCAATGAAGAGCAAGCTTTCGCTCGGGAGGAGGGGGCAGGATTATCCAAATACGCGGGCCTTGGATGTGTCAGTGTTGTTGGAGTCCGACATACTAGACGTCCGAACTCCTCAAGTTAATTTCAGCTTGCGGATTTTCGGACGTCCGGACTAGTCCAGATATTTTTTATAAGCAATGTTGGATGGCTAAAAGTGTTCAAACCATCTAATCCAAACATTTAAGATCGATTAGGTGATCAACGTTGGAGTTGCCCTTACCATGTCCTTCTCCCGGACAACATGTAGAGTCGACATATCTTGCCATGGCCCAATCGTACGCACCGGTACGGGCACCGCCAAAATGCATGGCATGGATGGCACCATGGAATTGGGTAGTCCTAGCCAGTACTCCTCTCATCTTCCATGTGAATTATTGGTCGATCAACCCTACTGTCTACCTATCTAGTAGTAACAGGGTACGTTGGGCCTGGGCGGCATGTGAGATCGATTCATTCATGCATGGAGTTGTTCAATTATATGTGTGGCACCCCCAAAACTACGGGGTGGGCCACCTCCTCCAAATGCATACATGCATGCATGTGGAGTTCCTTTCAGATCGAACTTTAGGCTAACTAATTGAAAACCACAAGTGCATACATGCATGCAATGCTGTTGGTCGGTCGATGTTACTGATAAATATGCACTAGTAGAAAAGGGGACAATGGTTCAGGTCGGTCCAGTCCATTAGTCCCGGTTCAATCCAGAACCGGGACCAATGGGGGCATTGGACCCGGTTCTTGAGCCCTGGGGGCCGGCCAGGCCACGTGGGCCATTGGTCCCGGTTCGTCTGGACCTTTTGGTCCCGGTTGGCGGGACGAACCGGGACCAATGTGCCTTGCTCCTGGCCCATCATCATTGGTCCCGGTTGGGGGAATGAACCGGGACCAAAGGCTTCCCTTTAGTCCCGGTTCATGCCACGAACCGGGACCAATTAATTGCCTATATATACCCCGCGAGCAGAGCACTCTCACTGCTCTGTTTTTCGTGGCCGGCGAGGAAAGAGCTTTGTGTTGCTCTAGCTCACCTCCTATGCACACGAGGTGTTCGATGGAATGCCCGAGCCACACTACTTAAGCTTTCTCCTCTCCAAGCTCCACCTCCAAGCTCCATTTTTCTCAATATTTGTCTAGGTTTAGCGGTCCGTCACGTCCCGTCCCCGTCTTCACCGCCGTCGATCGCCCGCGTCGCCGGCACCACCGTGGTGAGCCTCTTATTCTTATCTTCTTTCTGAAAGGAAAAAAAACTCTTACTTGTATGTTTATATAGATACTTGTATAATTTTCTTACTTTTATTATTGCATCTTATATAGTGCGATGGTTTTGGTATCCGCCCCCGTCGGCCCTCGTCCTGTCTATGATTCAGATGTGGTATATATTATCTTTTCATAACTATTGGTTCATTTATTGTTTATGACAATTATGCCGACCAACGTGACATAGATTTTATTTATCTAGGAGGTTGTTGAACCGGAAATTCCAACCGACCCTATTGTCGAGAGGTTAAATTTAGTTGAAGAAGAAAACAATTTGTTGAAGGAAAAAATTAGAAACATTGAGGAGGAGAAGATGATATTGGAGTTGCATGTTGCGGATGTCGTCGATGATCACAAGATCAAGATGGATGCAATGCGCTTGAAGATTATAGTAATGTAATTGATGAACTAGGACGTGCGTCATGATATTGAAGCGAGGTTATAGTAATGTAATTGATGAGTTATGCATGCGTGCGCAGGTACCACTATATTCTTCTGGAGATTAAGCTTGAGCGTGGACTAGTAACCGTTTTAGACTCGAGACGGAAAGATCCCAAAACCTATGCGGACATGACTGAAATGCTCAGCAAGTAAGTTCAATCGATCATAATTATCGCACCATATCGGTAACTTTTTGTTCATTTCATGATATCTCAAGTAATAATAATTATTTTCTTTGTCTTGCAGGGTTTGGAAACAGTTCATCGCAGAAGCTCCGGGACTGCCGAAGGAGCTGCGATATACATACCCGAAAGTAAGTACTACTGGCTAGCTAGTTGCGCGCATCTCCGGCCCGTTGATTCTATATATAGCTATACTTTCATCAATGCCATTTATAATGCTTCATTATCAGTTTGATTGACCTCTATTTCTCGTAAAGTGCTTGTGGCAGGAGGAAGGGAATGATTTCTGTGGATACTACGTGTGCGAGTTCATCCACACCGCGACTTTGAAAAACAAACGGGGCTACTCTCAAAGACAATATGAAGTGCGTAAGCAATAATATTCACAATTTCATTTTATTACACCATCATTTCTGTTGAGTTTCATTCATATATATGTATTAATTAACCCCCTTCTTCAAATTAGACGTGGCAGATGCGGAATGAACTCCTAGAATCAGATCACATGAAAGCAATTCAAGAGGAATTGGCGGGATTCTTTCTTGACCACGTCATCAGTAAAACCGGAGAATACCATGTGGAAATTGATTTCAAATGCTAGCTAGGGGTTTGTAATTATAAGAGATCTTATACATATTGTACATGTATGTAGCCAGTAGCATCGGATACATGATACGAAAACTTGTTGTTCGACCAACCTCTCGGAGAAGGAGAGGTCGATCGATCACTTCTCTCGGTATGCATGACGAACTTCTGTACTGAATGGTTCTCTCGATCACTTATGTATATATAGTACGTAGCGTCCAAGAATTTCTCGGTATGCATGACGAACCCAATCCAAGCACGGACATAAGAGAGGACACTCTCTCTATTAATTAGCTAGCTAACACAATATATGGAACACCTAATTAAATTAACCCCCCAAAACCCCCAACCTCCCCTCCTTTCAAAAAAAAACACAAAAACCCCAGCAACTGGAATGCTGACGTGTGGATGCATTTTGGTCCCGGTTGATGCCACCAACCGGAACCAAAGGCCCCCTGACTGGGGTGGGCGCACAGAGCCACGTGGAGGCACATTGGTCCCGGTTCTGGATTGAACCGGGACTAATGGGTGGAGGTATTAGTAACGACCCATTAGTCCCGGTTCATGAACCGGGACTAAAGGCCCTTACGAACCGGGACTAATGGGTGGTTTTCTACTAGTGATGGCACTACTTGTAAAAAAGACACCTGAACGAATGTTGATAATAGTAAACACAAGGTCCTACGATGTTGCAGGATAAGTACTATGCCTCGTGTCCATATTAGTTGTCCCTGATTTAGCATGGGACTTTTTTTGTGTTGTACTAGAGGAATGAGACGGTCAAATTTATTTACTAGTAACAAGCTAGCGTTGTTGTCAATTTATTTACTAGTAATAAGCTAGTCATTTTGACATATTGTCAAACCACTCTGACATCGGCGGCGGCATCGGTCAAGTACTAAACCAACCAACGTTTCAAGCTTGTGGTTGATGGATCGATTTCTGGATTCCTATTGTACCCATAATTCAAAGGTGATCCATTGACGATGGATGAGCGTCGGGTGACCGACGAGGGAGGGCAACGCACGTCGATCGATCGAGAAATATATTCCGACGGACTGATTGAGCGCCCAATCAGACAACCTTTCCCTTCCTCCCTTGCACTGCAACCACCTGACCTACCTCGAAAATGCATGCCACTCCATAAAATTAGAGAAAGAAAAAGGTGGCCAATGCAATGCCGCGGGCATGACTAATCCGTCTAGTGCAGTTTCTAAAGGCGATCCGATCCATGATTGATGTCTACAAACTAGCTTTACTGTTACTCGAGCACTCTAAAATTTTGGATAATCCGAGTGGACAGCTAGATCGATGGAACCGTGCATGCATATGCATGCATCCACTATATATGTGCCCACTTCACCACTTGATCAACAAAAGAAGAGACACGAGAGGACAATGGAAGGCCCTACTACAGTACCACTGTATATACAGGAAGCACCGCCACACCCACCTTCTGTGCCTAATCTAATCTAATCAGCTAATTCGAACAATGAGTAGGACATGCTACTTTTAAAATGCTAGTAAGTATATACACTTCACCTTGATGCTGCTTTCTGAATAAGTTAAGGGAATACGAATATGAATGAATATCTATCCAGTACTATGTGCCAAACAACAGTCGCCCGAGATGGAACATGAATGCTTTATTTATTCTCGTTAGCCTGGTCGACCAGCTTTATTCCGCACGCTACACGTATCCAAAGAAGAAGAAGAACATGGATCGGTGACTACTACTAACTGGTGTGGAGACAGACAAAAGTGAATCAACAAAAAATGCACACCGCACCGACAAAAGCACGGTATGGAATGTAGTGGATCAAAAAAATATGTTGGATGAAAGCAATGCCGCATCTGCCGCTTTGTTCTCTTCCTTTCCAACTCAACTTTCCCTTTGAATTATTGATTGAGAAGAAGCTTCTGAATGTTCAGAGTATCTATCCACGGAATCCATTCCAGCCTTTCTTATTTTTATTTCTATGATTCTCTGATCACACAAACAGAAAGTGATCGATTGTGCAGTGTAGTAGTAGTACGTAGTAGTGAATATATATGTACTGAAATTAATTTCGAGGACTCTACGCAAAAAAGAAGAGAAAAGAAACATGGTCAAAGGAGCATGTCACCCTTGGCGGGGAGGCGCTTGTAGAAGTTGAAGGGCACGGACGGCTGCTTGCTGCGGAAGCGGGGGTGGCGGAGCATGAAGAGCCCCAACACGACGGCCACCACCTGGAACGGCGTGATGTAGAGCACCACGGCCACGACGAGCGACATGGTGATGAAGATGGCCGTCGCCCGCGGGTCGCGCCAGCTCAGCAGCGACTGCGCGCGCTCCCCCTGCATGGCCAGGTCGCCCACCACCGTCTGCACCCTGCCGGCCACGCTGCGCAGCCGGTCGTACCGCATGCGCACCACGTCGCTCGGCTTGGACGTCGGGAACGTGTCGAACTCCTCGTCCAGCTCGTCCGGGTGCGCCTGCTCCGCGTGCGACAGCACCGTGTCCATGTGCGGCGGCTTGCGCGGCCGCCGCCGGTAGTTCCACACCCCGATCATGAACAGGTATAAGAACACCGTCGGCAGGATCAGCTCCGGGTAGCACACCAGTATCAAAAACAGCACGTGCACCAGTATGGTCGTCAGCGGGTTCTTCCACTTGCAGATGCCGTCGAACCACTTGCCGACGGCCACCACGCCGGAGAAGAGCGACGTGATGCGGTAGAAGTTGGCCTTGCTCCGGCGCAGGCTGAACATGTGCGAGTCGACGTCGAGCATGTACTCCACCACCTCCCGGTGCAGCGGCGGCTCCGACCGGCCCAGCCGCGTCGCCACCATCTGCATGGCCTGGAACCGGAGGTAGTCGAGCTGCAGCACGGAGATGGGGTTGCTGTAGTGCATCTTGGGCAGCAGCGGCCGCCCGTACTGCGCCAGCATGTTGGCCCACGCCGTGCACGTGAACCGGACGGCGAGGTGGAGCTCGCCGGTCTTCTTGAGGCCGCCGGGGGTCAGCGCCATGAGCGGGTAGTAGTGCGTGTAGACGCGGTCGGACTCGAGGGTGGCGAGCCTGACGCGCACCTTGCCGATCCTCTGGTCCTTGGCTCCTTCGCTGTGGTGGAGGTGGTTGTTGTCGAAGACGGCGACGGTGATGACGGTGCTCAGGTCGAACACCTCCCAGGTGTACTGCTCGTTCCAGGCGGGCGCGGCCGTGCCGAGCAGCGTGCGCGTGCGCACCCACTTGGACCCGTACTTGGCCACGCAGTAGGGGCTCTTGTTGCCGCCGAGGCCGCGCGCGCTGAGGATGCCGACCTCCAGCACGCCGATGGCGCTCTTGCGGAGCTTCTTCGCCGCCGGCTGCAGGTCGCTGCTGTAGTGCGTGGACTCGTCGAGGACGTGGTACGCCGTCTCCAGGCTCATCCTGAGGTGGATCTTGCTGGCGAAGGTCTTGGAGTGCTCCCGGTGCTTGGTCCCCGTCGTGGCCTCCGCCGCCGCCTCGTCCACCGTCATGCCGCGCGACAGGTTGAACCACTTGGACGGTATGGACTTGGCCAGGTCGTTGCGCGGCACGTAGGGCGACGCCACGGGGATGATGATGCGGCCGATGGGCTCGTCGCGGCCGGCGGCGACCTTCTCCTCCACGGTGACCACCAGCGGGTCCTCGAACGGCTCGCTGGCCACGAACATGAACTCCTCGTTCCACGCCTGGTTCGCCGACCCCTGCGGCTGCCCCGGCCGCGTCCGCCTGATCTGGCTGCCCATCTGTATCTTGGCTATGGTGGGCGCCAGCGGCCGGCCCTTGTCCGCGGCGATGAGGTCCTGCGCCGCGATGACGGAGACCTTGAGGTAGATGAGCTTGGGCGAGTAGTACACCTTGGAGCGCGTGTTGGTGAGCCCCTCCCGCGACAGCGAGTGCGCGTCCGAGTGCCACGCCTCCGGGAACGCCTCGTCGGCCTGCGTGCCGACCCAGACGGCGAGCATGATCTCGCCGAGCGGGTGGCCGTGCCGGAACCGCTCGCCGTGCGCGTCGGCGAGGCTGTACCACTGCGGCGCGAGCGGGCTGTCGGGCGGCAGGCGGCTGGGGATGTCGGACATGTCGAACACGACGCGGCCGACGAAGTCGTCCCGGAGCGTGTCCTTGTCCATGACGATGACCTCGAGCTGGCTGGCCTGGAGGTGGGCGCCGGAGAAGGCGAACGTCTGCCGCCACACCGGGTTCTGGTTCTTCTCCAGGTGCCGCGTCACGCCCTTGAAGTTGCCGAGCTTCACCTCCACGTACGGGTCCAGCGCGCCGGTGAGGTCCATGGAGGGCAGGTCGCGCGCCTTGACGACGGTCACGTAGAGGTACGACATCGGCTCCACCATGTCGTAGGTGGACGCGATCTTGGCCGTCCCAGAGCGCGGCCCCATCTTGGCCGGCAGCGGGGGCTTCGTCTCGGTGAGGCCGTACTGCGAGCCCGGAGGCGGTGCCCCGGCAGGCCCGGCGGGCTTCGGCACGACCACCGTCTGCCCCGCCGGCGGGGGCGGCGCCGCCATGGCGTGGAGCGTGTGGCGCCGAGGCTCGTTGCCACCACCAGCTGACGAGGCCGGAATGGAGCGGAACTCGCGCGTGTCGTGGCCGCTCTTCCCCTTGGTCTCCACCGCCGGCCCTCCCGAGGCAGAGGCAGCTGCGGCACCTGCCGGCGCCTCGCCGGAGAAGACGTTCCTGACCATCCTCTCGGGGTCCAAGTTGCCAGCGGCTGGCTGGGAAGGCTGCTGCTGACCACCGCCCGTGTCCATGGCCGGAGCAGCAGCAGCAGCAGCATGGTCCTGCGCGACGCAATCGCCGTCCCGCGCGTCGGGGAGGAGGTAGAGGCGGAGCGCGATGTCCCCGGAGACGCGGGAGAAGAGCCCTCTCTTGTCCAGCGGGAAGCGCTGCAGGAAGGCCTCGTCGGGCGAGCGCGCGACGGACTCGCCGGAGACGCGGACGCGGCCGAGGAAGACGTGGGGGCGGAGCGCGTTGTGGTCGTTGAGGCTGCGGTCGTGCTGCACGGAGACGTCGACGGTGAGGGCGCCGAGGCGGGCCGGGTCGCGCACGTCGAAGAGGAGCGTCTCGTTCCACTGCGGGGAGAGGTCGCCGGGGCGGGTGGCCGTGCGCTGGCGCTGCCCGTCGAACTCCACCTCCACGAACGCGTTGCAGGAGGAGGCGCCGTCCTTGGCCGACAGCTCCGCCGCGTCCGCGACCTCCACGGCCAGCTTCATCGTGGCGCCGGTAGGTGGATGGCTGGTTAGGTGCTGTAGGATGGCCGGGGTTTGGGAGGACGGGCGGCCATGGATGTGCTCGCTCTGCTTTGCTGTGCTCTGGCTGGGTTGGTAGGTGCTCTGCTTTGGGAAAGAAGTGAAGACGAAGGGCGCGTGTGTCGTAATAGTGTCCCACTATTTATAATACCAATAATCTTGAGGGGTTGGTGGTGGTTTTTATTTTCTTTTGGCCTGGGCGGTGGTATGTAAGATGAGCCCACGGGTCAGAAAAGTGTCGACGATCGTCGGCGGGGTTTTATACGCGCTATTCATCCATTTCTTTTATTTTTTCGAGAAAATTTCCAATATATTCATCTTCGATCATGGCAGTACAACGAATATCAGAAATAATAAAAATTACATCCAGATCCATAGACCACCTAGCGGCGACTACCAGCACTGAAGCGAGCCGAAGGCGCGCCGCCGTCATCGCCCCTCCATCGCCGGAGTCGGACACAACTTGTTGTAGTAGACAGTCGGAAAGTCGTCGTGCTAAGTCCCCGTAGGACCGGCGCACCAGAACAGCAACCGCCGCAGATGAAGAATAACGTAGATCTGAAAGATCCAATCTGAAGACACGCGAACGTAGACGAACAACGACGAGAACCAAGCAAATCCACCAAAAATAGATCCGCCGGAGACACACCTGCACACGCCCACCAATGGTGCTAGACGTGCCGCCGGAACGGGGACTAGGCGGGAAGACCTTTATTCCATCTTCAGGGAGCCGCCACCGTCTTGTCTTCCATAGCAGGACATAAACCCTAGCAAAACTGAAAGAAACGACTAAAAATGGAGCCCTCCCGCCGGCCCTTGCCGAGATCCACCACGCCCCCATGGCCCTAGGGCCACTGGAGAGGAGGCGGACCTGTAGCGGGACGGCAGGAGGCAGAAACCCTAACTTTTTTGTGGAGGAAGGAGGAGGCGGCGGCTAGCCTTTCCTTCGAGGGAAGGAAAGAACGATGCTATTTCTAAATGGACATATACTTTCTATCCATTGCAATAGCTTCTTTAGAGGAAACACACTTCACTTTATTGATCAATAAGAAAGCTTAAAAGGATAATTAGAGAATCGTAGCTGTATAGCCGGTCGCTATGATGACTGTGACACTAAATTACCACCTTGGGACATCTTTAGCCCATGCCAAAAGTTAAATACGAGGACACTTTTCTTAATTTTGGAAATTAAACGCCAACAGTGCGCCTTGCAAATGTTTAACTCCACAAAAATATTTTTTCATTGCCTATAAATATGAGCTAGGAAAGAGTTCACTCCTCCCGCCGTCACCGAATAACATCTAGCTTTTACGTACGGCGGGATCTCTCAAGATAGAACGTAAGTCTGGAAATATATGTCATAACATTCCGAAAAATATATTATATTCTTGTGCGTTTTAAACCATGCGAATAATGGGTGCCCTAAAGGAGCTGATTTCTTCTTTAGAAACGGATGGTTTGGTGAGTTGAGAAGAGAAGAGATGACTTTTGCGTCACTCGGTCTTGCCATTCCTGAACTGTGCCTGATTGCAGATTCTCGGTGCCACGACTGTGATCTTTCTTGGGAAGTATGTGCATGATTTGGTGATGTTTAGAATTACTCCTACTAGCTAGTGTTATATCCTATCTTTTGGGTTGGGTGACGTCAATTAGCCATTATATCAGTAATCAATGATAGAGCATTTAAAAAAATGAGTAATGGAGTGTGTACATATGCATCTATCCGATCGGTATATGGACATACCATATAGCATGCATGCTTTCCGCGCCTGTTATTATAATTATCATGTGAAGAAATGAACCGATAATTCTCTAGAAACCGGGCTGGTCATAACTACGGGTCAGATGTCAAAGGTAACACATCATATCAATAATTATTAGGAGATTTGGCCTAATCTCAATACATATAATCTCAACTAAAAGTAAAACCATATATTATATTGATCGCAATAAAATCATATTAAAGTTAGTTAATTAACCTCCAAGTACTGTCACGAAAAGCAAAGGACATAAGACAGCGTTGATAATATACTAGTGGTTGGGGCTCGCCATTGCGGGCCGCTTGAAAGGAAGCTATGTGCACCTCACCATCATGTCAAAATCTTAAAAAAATATTCTCGCATCACATGGACATCACAACCATCTTAAAAGGAAAAAGAAAAAGTTTAGAAAAACTTCTGTCGAAAAGAAGTCTCCCTACCATTTAAAAAACTGTCTCCCTACCATTTAAAAAACTTTTTCACCGTGACCAACCAGCATGTGCCACATGGCGTAGCTGGTTGACCCCCATTCTAGCGCCTCTTAATAGGTTTAATGGAATAGCACCAAGTAATTAAATGCTAGCAATGCTCAACTGACACCTACGGTAACAAATCTACCTTCTTCTTCTTCTTTTTAAATAATCCTCGAGCATCTTGATTTCTTGTTTAAATTGCGTTTAGCTCGTACATCCTTCTAATAGTTATATGAACTAATGCAAAAGGATAAATACTAGTTACATGAAAACATATTTAATTATGTAGCAGTCCATGAATTGAACTACTAACACTAATGTTTCGGTATTTAAATTTAGAAGTGTTTCGTGTTGGGCGCTGAAAATAATAGACAAAGATTATTATCAAATCAACTCATGAAATTTTCTTTTACTATGGAAACTATGTTATACATGGAATCATGCAGCAAGCATGATCAACCCTCCGCAATTTGTAGCAAGTCATGCTCTGAATCTCTAGAAAAAAATAGCCTTGTGTTTTTCTTGTGGTGTAACTAAATAATGTCTAGCTTTTACCTAGGAGTCGACATATATGTTATAATCTTGTGTTTTTAAAATCATGCAAACTATAGTTGTCCAAAAGGAATTGCTTCTATTTTTAGAAATGGATGGTTTGGTGAGTCGGGAAGAGAAGAGATGACTTTTTGCGTCGATGTTGTCATTCCTAAAAGTAGTCCAATCGCACATTCTCGTCACGATAAGATTGTGATCAATCTTTCTTGCAAAGTGCATGCATAGAGAGTCCACACGTGCATGATATGGTTATTTTTGGAATTATTCATATTAGCTAGTATTTTTGGGATTGGGTGGTGCCAATTAGCCATACTACGTATCTACGATGAATAATGGAGCACTGACGTACATATCATCATAATCTATAGATCAATTTATCTTTTCGGTGGATGGATATAGCATGTTATCATGTCTATAACATGCATGGTCTCAACCTGTTATTGTCATTATCATTGGGAGAAATGAAGTGAGAATTCTGTGGAAAACGAGCATGTGATAAGTAGGGGTGGGGGTGAGGGGAGGACAGATGTCAATCAGATCATATCAATAATTATTAGGGACATGTGACCCGAGCTCAATAAAATTAATCGTCCAAACACAAAGGTAGCTTAAACTAAAAGAAAAATTGTGTATGACCCTGGTCATAATAAAATCATACTAAATATATGATTATTTGAATCGACAACTACTTTCATGAGTAGCGAAGGACAAAAGACGACGCTGACAATTATAGCACCAACATATTGGGTCTTGGCTCGACCACACCTACAATGTGAAGCAGTTTCTGCAGCCTACCTAACAATATAAAATATGAGGTATAGTATACTTCTCAACAACCTTAATCTTTCATACCATCACCCTATCTAAATCACACACGCCGTCCGTCAACTCCACCTTTCATCTCTTGCCTTTAGTTAGATGAGTCTCGATTATGTAGCCACACATGAATTATGCTAATCACACTCCTAAGAGTTTTCCAAGTTTATAATACTGATTATTAGGGAGGGGTTGGTTGGTGTGCATCGGCAAAATAATAGAAGAGAAAGAAGAAAAAGGCCCATGGACCAAAGGAATAATTGGCGCCAAAGTCTCGTCTCTAGGTTGGATTAGCTAGTAGTTGACATTGGCTGGGTTTTGGCTTGGTCATCCGCTCGTCATGTTGCTATGCACACTCTATCTATCTATCTATCTATCTATCTATCTATCTATCTATCTATCTATCTGGAAAGAGCATAATTTTTGTGTGCGTCTCTTATATTTTCTAAGCAAGGCCTAGGGTGCCAACAAATAGAGGAGAGGGGACCGTTGGATGGGAAAGATAAAGAGGGAAGTAACAAATAACAAAGAGCATCTATGTAACACCTAAAATTATTTTATGAAAATACGCATAATAGGTTACCAATGGAATAAATAATTTTGAAATTTGCGCTTAATGCTTTCTGAGAATTGTGATAGAGAGCATGAGGTTTTTGTTCACAAGTAAAAGTAAGGTTTTCTCAAACATTAGAACTACCATTGGTCATCAGTTTACCAAGAATAAACACTGTACACATTGCCCGGTTCACTATGCTAGTTACAAGTAATACCAGAAGCATAGATAGCAATACTCCAATGGTATCTTGCAAGTGGACAAGCAAATAATAAAAAATTGTATGGTCTCATTCCACCCACAAGGCAGACACTTATTTTTAACTGCGCCCCGCTCCGAAGCGTAACAACAGCGTGATACTATGCTTAACTACTAGTCACATGACAATTTTGAGCCACATAGAAATCTTAATCATCCAAAGAAAACTAGTTGACATATCCACGCCAATTGCTCTAAGTTTTGTATAAAAACTCTTAACACGACTTAAATTTCTAGGGGTGAAAATTCTCCTTTATTGGAAGGGCTCAACATAAACGAACTGTGTCTTTACCTTGTTGAAGGCGTTGTCAACTTGCTGGTGAGCTGGTCTTTACTGGTCGGTCTCAGTAACCAAGATGAAAATCCGTGTCTTAGAAATCTCCTGCCAGATGTGGCAATTACAGTGTGTGGGTGTTTATTACTTCTTTAGAGCGTCGTAACGGAATAAGTTGACTGTGTTATATGTGTTAAATTCATATCTTGTAATGGTTCAACCCAATTTGTTGATGAATTTGGTTTCATTACCTTGCATGAACATTAATAAAAATGGTT